ATCACCCCTTTCTCGCCTTCTCCCCTGCCACAGGTGACTCCCAGCCAACCCCTGGGTTGAAAGGCCGGTTCCCTCCCCGCTCCTCCTAAGATGGGGTTTGCTGCGCTGCTCAGAATTAATCTCTTCCACCTACCCCCTCCATAAGGGGCAGCCACTGGGCTCCCTAACTGAAGCCACAGTCACTGGCCTCCAAAGGATCCTTGCAGCTGGGTGAGCAACGAGGAAAGCACCCTCTGTGCAGGGGGGACCCGAGCGGCCCGGGCAGCCCCCGATCCTCCCCTCCCCGGCAGGCCAGGACCATCGTTACCTTCGGCAGGGTTCATGGCCGCATCGTGGAGCAATGTTGCTACACACCCGGCTGCACCTGCAAAACAAGAACTGCCACATGTGAAGGGGGGCACGTGAGGGACCCCGGGGCTCCACTGCAGCCCCGAGTCCCCCGCCAAGGCACAGGAAGAAGCCCCTGGAAGAGGGCAAGATCCGAAGGCAGCTTCCATCTCCTGTCCAAGAGGCAGGCCAGTTCTCAGCAGTTCCCACCCAGAGAGAGATCAAGAAAGAGAGGGAGAGGATTGCGACCGGCTCTCACGTTCCATGGGCTGACTGGAACTCACTTGGGCTCAGTCCTGGGGGGACAGACTGATACCACCAGCTAGGAGGGGACCAGAGGATGGCAACTGTCCCTGTGCCTCACAGAGAAGGAGAAACCAGACAGCACTCCACCATGTGCCTGCCGAGGGCAGGACATGCCCTGCTCTTCCCTCAGTCCCATGCTTTCCCCACCACGGCAGCTCCTCGAGACAAGTAACGGGCACCATGGCAAGATGGACTCCTAAACCACGTGGCGCTCCAGGGGCAAGCTCCAGTACCACCAACCCATGGGGCCACGGCTGGTCACAGCTTGTCTGCGGGCATCCTTCGGAGCCGGGGCCACTTTTTTTTGGGAGCCGCTCTGTCTGGAGCCTGCCCCTGTCCCAGCGCTGCTGGCCGGCAGCTGGCGAGAGTACAGGGATCAGGGCACCCATCGCACCCCAACCCTGTGGTGGCAAACCTCCCCACTGCCAAAGCTCGGCCTCTCCCTGCTCCGCTCTCCTCCCCACCCCAGCGTGGCAGGGGGGAGGCCCCGGTAGCCCCGCAGTACCGTTGGCCACATGGCTATTGCCCCCTGCGTGGATGACGTCGCTCAGCGTCTTTTTTAACTTTTCGTAGCAGGCGAAGTAGAGGGCGTGGGCCGGGCCGGCGCCGGTGGCAGTGATGTTCAGGCCCCGCATGGGCCGCCAGACACCTTCGGTGCGGG